CTCTCTCTCTCTCTCTCTCTCTCTCTCTCTCTCTCTCTCTCTCTCAGCAAGTCATACCATAACAGCACTTCTTACACCAATGGCATCCTGGATCGGATGAACCACAATCTAGGTATAAGGCTGGACCAGTTCCCTCAAACAAGGCTGGAAAAATTCCCAGGGCAACAATTGTTATTAACTGCTGCACACTAGGACTATTGCTGTGTTGTGACCATATCCCTAGGACCTCTCCGTTCAGACCCAGGACTCGTTCAAGGCCTGGCTTCCTGCGGCAGCTCCGTGCTTTAGGGGCCAGGAGACTCCACACTCTTTGCTCTGTTTGGTTCTCCTCACTTGCAAAATGCTTGCCGGCTCATCACTGAACTCTTGCTAGACGCTAGACCCTGTTTGAGCATTTGGGAAAGTAGTGCATTCTGTCCTCCCTGCAGCCCTGGGAAGTAGGCAGGCCTATTATGCGCACTTCAAGGATGAGTTAATAGGATGTTGGCAGATGGGAAGCTTGTGTTGAGTCACACAGGTTTTGAGACAAACGGCTTGGGAAACATCACAGCCTCCAGCAGCTCATTTTTCTCCCTAAAGACTCAGTGAGGTAACAACTATGGTAACAGCTACTTTATGAATTGTGAGACGCCTGGGGCTCGAAAGGGAGCTAACTGTTACTTTCATGAGTTAGAGCTCTTGGATTCTGGGCTAGCACCACATCCACGAGATCTGACTTGTCTCAAACCTTCCATTAAATTTTCTTCCCCTTCTACAGCTACCAGAGAATCCTATAGTCGGATGTTTGCAGTTTAAGAAACATGGTACCAAGATGGCGTAAAACATCCACGAGACTAGGAGGTGGGTGCAATACCTAAGTGTCTGCTAACAGTGGACTCTTCCAATGAATTATGATGCACCCACATGGTGGGCACTGTGCAGTCATTAAACAGGAAGAGCACCGTGTCTGCAGGGGAAAGATCGCCAAGAGGCCACGTGAGAGCAAAGTGTAGAACTTTGTATAAAATCTGCAGTAATTTGTATGAAAAAGGAAGTGTGTGTGCAGGGGGGATAACTTCCGGAAAATACACAAGACTGGCAACACCAGGGCCCCGCCAAGGGACCCGAGGGGCTGAAAGGAGGAGGTGAAAGGTGAGGCCTTAACTTTACATCCCTCTGGTCCTCTTCAAGGCGAAACTACCTCTGGGGCCTCACATGGAGCCTGGCAGCTCCCCCGCTGCAATCTATTGCAAGTCAGCCCTCAGCACAAAGTTTTATTTTATTTTGTTTTTTTTAAAAAGGAAAAAAACTACCTGGATGTACTAATCATTCAAACAAATTCAACTTTGTTTTTTGAAAATAAATTTAAATGGACCTCATGATGGGAAAAAAAGCACATCATTTAGCAGGCACTTTAAAATTTCTCTCAAGATTGGCCTCCCTGATTCCGATGGGAAAGGTCACAGCCTCTGGCCTCGGGAAGAGGATCCTGGAGGTGCTCGCTCCTGTCTCTGGGCAAACCTTGAGTTCTGATCACAGCACAGCGCTGCCCTCAGCTCTCTACGGCTTCCCCATGTCCTCGCTGTGGCCTGTGTCAGCCTGATGGGGCAGCAAACAATGGCTGCGAGAGGAGAGGCCGAGGGGCCTTGGAGCAGCAGCCTGAGCTACCGGAGCGTCTCCTCAGCCCTCCCGCAGGCTCCCAGGCCGAAGGTGCTCACGGAGCGCTGGGCATCGGTAGGTGGGGGCGCGAGGGGCACCCCTGGCCTCACCCTCCAGGACTCGACAATCTCTTAGGGACACTGACCTCAAAGGAACAATCAGCACAAGAAAACCAGTAAAAAACTAAAACTAGAAATTCCACTCCACTCAGTATTCTCCTTCTAGGCATCTTCCCCAAAGAGTCAGGCACCATATCACAGGGGTGCATGCAGACCCGCACTCACAGAAGCACGGTTCAGACAACTGAGTCTTGGCAGCAGCCTGTTCGTCCATCAACAGATGAAGAAAATGTTACAATAGAGTTAAAGCGGAATTTAGAGAAAAACCAATTTCTCCCTTGTCGCCCTGAGCAGTTGCCCCTCAGATTCCCCTTCTCTATAACCGGATGACCACTGCTACGTTTCTGTAGCGTCCTGAATGTTCTGGTTTCTCAGGCATCTGCTTACCCTAATGGCTGCGCTCTGCTTAGATACGGTAAGGTAGACAGGCATGTTTCTGTAGACTGAGTCCAGCGACATCCTGTGACCTGCTTTCCAGATGCAGATGCAGATAAAGTTGACAACTATGTTCCTGCACCCAGAGTCCTGTGACATCCTGGAATTCCTCAAATCTCTCTTCTTTCAAGGCTAAGCTGCAATCTGTCTCTGAGTAACTACCTGCCTTTTGCCTCAGCTTCTGGAACCGCCCTGGCAACCCCTTCCTGTGTTGTGTCAACCCCCTCAACGACGTGTATCACAAAGGAGCTTCTCTACTGCTCAGGGCGCAGGACAGGAAGCTGCTGGGCCAAGCGCACACCTAAGAAAGCCTCCTCATTCACCCTGGTTTCTCCCGTCTCTTCTGCAACAGAGTACTCCTATGTCACAAAGAAGGACACATTTGAGTTGTCTGGTCTGTAGAAGAGTGGTTGTACTTTGTGACCATAAAGTGAGGTGAAATACATCAGGCCCAGGAGCTTGCCAGCGTGTGGCTCCACTCACACGAGAAGCCCAGAGAATAAACAAAGAGCGAGATAAAGGAGAGGTCATTCAGTGCCAGGGGAGCGAGCTTTGGCAGAGGCAGAGGCAGAGGACCAAGAGGTGCGGGGTGGGGAATGGATGTGCAAAGCTTGAAGACGTGCTCGTGCACGCGCCAGCTCACCGCGAGGCGTGTGAGCGTGTCCTGCAACGAGGCTAATGAAAATGACAACTTGAAAGTTGCTCTGTTCTGTACAGACAGTGGGCAGTAAGGAGCTGGATGAGAAAAGAAAACCAGCCCCTGCCCCGCTGCCTTGCTCTAGCGCCCTGCTAGCTCTGCTGGCCGTCTGACACAGGATAGCACGAACGGTAACCACAAGGGTAACCGGCCTCTCTGAGCAGCTTTTACACCTGGCTGCTCATGAGTGTCACCAATGGAACTTACAAACACACACACACAGTCCTTGTCACTCGATGGCAGTTATATCCCAGAATGCATGGCTACGCGATTTCACTATGAGAACGCTACGAGTGTGCTCACCATAAAGTCAATGATTTCAATGTCTCCAGGCCACCTGGTAGAAAACACAATGTGACACTGACCAAGCCATCCTTATCCTACGCATGACTGTAAAGAGATTCTCAGATCAGCTACTACAGAACCCCAGCCCATGGGGCAGGCTTTCCCACAGTGCCAGGAAGCCCGCAGTTTTCACATTAATGATCTGATTTGATCTTTAACACCTGCACTGCCGGTGTTGATAAGGACACTGCCAATTCACAGAAGTCACAGCAAAAACTGCTGTCTGTGGAGGATAGCTAAAACTCCCCAGCCTGCCGCCTCCGGGTGCTGCTGTCCGCCCTACCCTAGGGCACCTAGGAGTCCCTGCCCTGGACCACCAGCCCTAGCCCTGGTAGGCACTCCCTCCTTGTCCCCCAGGTCTCGGTCCACACTGTGCCTCTCTGGGCCCATCCTCTGCAACTGCTGCCTCTGGCCTCTCTGGAGCCAGACTCCTGCTATGCTGTGCGCCCTTTTGCCCTACCCAGATGGGCTGCTTCGCAGGACTCCATGCACATAGCGCCTGTGAAGGTCATCAGTATCTGCTTTGGCATGTGGGCTTGGTGATTCTGTCCTGGACAGAGCCGACCACCTCCTCTTTGTGGAAGCAAGGTCCTCTTGGGTATCTGGCACTCACACCATTTTGTCCCTTCAGTCTGTGCTCCTCTCCCTAGCACTCAACCCTGGAGTGTCCTAGAGGTCTAGTTTGTCTCCCCAGTGCACAGTTCCTTCCATGGATGACGTCATCCGACCCCACAAAAACTGTCTCACTCTATGCTAATTTGGAGCTCTATCTAGCCCGTCTCTCCTCAGCACGGCTGCATATTTAACAGCCTCCTGGACCTTTCTACTGGAGTAACTGCAGACACATATGCTCAAAGT